GTACGCGGCCTCTCCTTACTGGACGGGCTGACCAGCTCTCTGTACTCCAGCCTCGCTCCACGACCAGCAAGGTAGGGCCCCCGAGCCCTGGCCCCCCCCCGCGGAGAGCCAGGCCCCGCCCTGTCCCTCTGCCCCGCCCCCCCGCGCCCCGCCCCGCCCCTTAGCCCCGCCCCACGAGGACCAGGCCCGCCCCTGAGTCCTGGTAAAGGCCGTGCTAGTCCTGGGGCCCAGCAGCCTGACCTGGTGCATAGAGTGGGGCCCCACTGCCCCGCGTCCAGGGAGGAATCGGGGAATCTGGCCGTCGAGGGAGGCGGCCAGGATGAGCAGCGCGTTATGGACCACACCCCGGCTATGGGCTATGAAGCTGAGGGGCGTCTGATAACCCAGCAGATGGGTGGCAGCTGGGGGTGCAGGAAAGACGTCAAAGAGGACCCCTCCAGGGTTTAACCTGAGCGTGGGTCCGAAATGGGCAGAATCCCACCCCAGGCGCGCAGCAGGCCTCCCGACCCCTGCGTGACCCTGTCTAAGGTCCTCAGTATGGGGCTGGGGCAACTTTAGTGCTCTAACTCGTCTTTTGCACAGGCCCGGGGCCCCGGGTCCGTTCCCACCGTGGCTCCCCCATCCCCCTGTCCCCTAAATCTACCCAGGCCACTCTGGAATGTTCTACCCAGTCGGTGGTTACTTTCTTCTTCAAAGGTGGAGTTCCCCCACAGTGATCCCCATGACAAAGCAAACTCAAAGGCTGTTAGAGGTTTCCTGGCTCACAATCCCCTCCCCCAGTGTGGGCATGTCCCTCCCACACGTCCTCCGCAGCAAGCTGGAGGCTGACCCCAAGGAAAACCTCTGGAAGCAAAGTGTCTTAATGCTGCCAGAATAGAAATACCAAAAGGGAGTGGCTTTGATGAACAATCATTTATTTTGTCACAGTTTGGGGGGCTGAAAGTCTGAATCCAGGGCATTGGTGCTAGGGGTAGACTGTCTCTGTGGCTCTTGGGGAAGTTCCCGGCTCTCAGCTTTCTTCCTCAGCTCCTTGGGGATCCCCACGTGGCACCCATCTTTCCCCATTTGTACTTCCTTGTTTCTGGGCCAACTGTACTCTGTTTATACCGCAAAAGTGATTGACTTTAAACATACCAGATACTGATGCCTTGCTGAAAGTGAAGAGGACTGGAAGCTGTTGCTGATGAAGATGAAAAATGACAGCCTTCGGTATGGATGATACCTCAACATAAAGAAAACAAAAAGCCTCCCAACTGGACCGATAAGCAACACCATGATAAACCCAGAAAATATTGAGTTGTCCGAAGTTTACTTGGATCCACAATCAATGCCCATAGAAGCCAAAACCAAACAAAAAAAAACCCACTGCATTGAGTCAATTCCAACTCATAGTGAGCCTATAAGACAGAGTAGAACTGCCCATAGGTTATCCAAGGCTGTCAGTCTTTACAGAAGCAGACTGCCTCATCTTCGTCCCAAAGAGCAAATGGTGGGATTAAACCACCAACCTTTTTGGTAAGCAGCTGAATGCTTTAACGACTGCACCACCAGAGCACCTTCTCATGGAAGCAGCAGTCAAGAAATCAAAGAATGTATTGCGTTGGGCAAATTTGCTGCAAACAACCTCTTTAAAGTATTAAAGAGCAAAGATACTGCTTTGAAGATTAAGGTGCACCTGACCCAAGCCATGGTATTTTTAATAGCGTGCTACTAGCATTTGACTGCTAACCAGAAGGATGGCAGTTCAAACCCACCAGCCACTCCTTGGAAGAAAGATGGTGTAATCTACTTCAATAGTGATACCGCCTCGGAAACCCATGAAGGGGTCGCTATGAGTTGGGTCCGACTCGACAGCACTTAACAACAACACGCATGTGAGAGAGGAGCTCTGGTAGCATAGTGCCTAAGGCACTTGACTGCTAAGCAGAAGGCTGGCGGTCCAAACCCACCAGCCACTCCTCGAAAGGAAGGTTGAGCAATCTGCTTCCATAGAGATACCACCTCGGAAACCCAAAGACGGGTCGCTTTGAGTCAGGTCAGACTCAACGGCACATAACAACGACAACAATGCATGTGAGAGCTGGACAATGAATAAGGAAGACCGAAAAAGAGTTGATATGTTTGAATTGTGGTGTTGGTGAGGAATGCTAAGTGTATCATGGACTGCCAGAAGAATGAACAAATCTGTCCTGGAGGAAGTACACCTCAATGTCCCTTAGAAGCGAGACTGGCCAAACTTCATCTCTCGTTCTTAGGTGGTCATGTTGTCAGAAGGGACCCAGTCCTGAAGAAGGAGATCATGCTTGGTAAAGTCGAGGTCAGCAAAAAAGAGGAAGACCCTCAATGAGATGGACTGACACAGTGGCTGCAACAACGGGCCCAAGCGTGGCAATGATTGTGAGGCTGGCACAGGACCGGGCAGTGTTTCCTTGTTGTACATGCAGTTGCTGTGACTAGCAACACTGGTATGACCTCATTAACATGACAAAGAAAACCTTATTCCCAAATGGGATCACATCCACAATTATGTTGTTGTTGTTGTGTGCCGTGGAGTTGATTACGACTCAGAATTCTGAAGGGTCCCTGTGAGTTCACAAGTATAGGGGTGAGGATTTACAATACGTATTTTTGGGGGACACAATTCAATCCATACCACAAAGCAGACACTGTTCACAGTGGGGCAGTGGGTTGGGCTGGCTCCATGGTGAAAGGTACTGGAAGATGCATTTTGACCCAAAGTCCCAGCTTCCTTCTCTGCAGAAGAAAGGTCATAGTAAGTGCCCTGCGAGCCTCCTAGGGATGCTGTGGGGATTCACAGAGAGAGAGTGCCTAAGGAACTCAGCACCTCGCCTGAACGTGGCAGCCCCAGGCTGTGGCTGTGCTTACGAATGGCACCCTCCAGCTGGCAGAGGCAGCCATGGGAAAGAAAACTGCAGCAGGCCCGGAGCTGTGAGCCTTGGGGTGAGTCATCCCCACTGCTGCTGTAGGTGGAACTTAGACACCTCACTCAACCCCCCGACACTCTTTTTAGATCTAGTCAATGGGCATCATGTTGTTGTTAACTGCCGTCGAATCGTTTCCAACTCATAGCGACCCCATGCACAGCAGAACGAAACACTGCCCGATCCCGCACCAGCCCCACATCCCTGCTATACTCGAGCCCATCATTGCAGCCACCGTATCAATCCATCTCCTTGAAGGCCTCCCCCTCTTTCGTCGACCCTCCAC